TTGTTATCTTGTCAGACATTCTTTGTTAGTGTCTTGTCTTTCCCAACACTGGGATATTGATGTCTCTTCCGTCATGCTTTTGAGATATTGGTGTTCCTGTCGTCATACTTTTGGGACATTGATGCTCCTGCCGTCATACTTTGAAGACATTGGTGCCCCTGCCCTTTTGTTAGAGTGAAGGCATATATGCTCTAATTTATGGACGACGACAACAATGTCCCAAAAAAATAACGAAAAATATCTGCATAACATTTACGATAATTTGGAAAATATATTTATCTTTTTTCCCTTTATTTATTTTCAATTAGTCGCATGGTATATGATATTGAACTAATGAACAAAGACACAATATATAATTAAAAACATTTAATCCTAAAAAAGTGTTTCTACCTAATGGAGATATATTTCTCAAGTCATAAACACAGGAGCTAGCTCTATTTCAGATATAGGAACACTATAACAAATGTCTTTCATGTTCCACAATTTACAATTAACTTGCTATCAGTATCTAAGATCGCAAAAGAACTCAAATGTTCAACAAAAAAAAATTTCATCACTCTCATGTCTTTAGCGCGACAATTAATTAACGATAATAGCTCAAATACCGTTAAACATGTATTCTTAGCAGTAATTAGCATACTTTGTATATATTTCTAAAACCTTTATCAACATTAAATCTAATTGTCACTAAAAATTTTAGCACTCTTTATTATTAATATGTCTATTTATTGACACTAAAAGTTATTTTTGTTTTAGCGTATTTTCCTGCTAATCAACAAATGTGCAACATGGTTCATTTGATATAATTGATCAGGTAGACCTCTAGGAAGTACCAACTATTTATGATAACGAAAAGTATCGTTTTAAAATGTGGTTGACTATATAGACAAGAATGATATGGCTATTCGCTCAAATGTATGTATATATATATAACATCTCAAAATTTTCAGACTACGATTTGAATCGTTTCACCTATAAAATTAGATTCAAACTCGACGATTTTAATTGTGATTAGATAAAAAAAAGGTCAAATATTAAGAGGGGAATTATGTATTAGATGTGAATTAAGCTTATAAGGAAACTCTAGCGCACAAAAGCATATCTCATATGAGATGAACAAGCACTATATCATTGATCAATTCCTACGATTTTTCTGGTGTTTGTAGAAGCCAAAAAGTTATACACAATTAGAGTTTTGAAGTTGTATCATTAAAAAGGTATATTAAATTTTTTTAAAAAACATATTAAAAGGGTAAATTAGGTAGATCATAATTTAATTTATCAATGATAAGTTAAAAGAATTTTTGAAAAAAATTAATGAAAAAAGATAGGCGTAACAATGCTAAATCACAATTCACAATGAAGGTTTTATGAAGCTATATCTAAAGGGAGTTTTCTAAATTATTCTAACAAAATATTATCATGAGCTAAATGTCAATAACTGTCAAATTTAAAACAAATATATTTTGTATGGGAATTCAACAAACCAGATTTAGGATAACAAATTTCTTTTACTATATTTAATGCTCCACTATTTAATAAAGAATAATTTAATTTCCCTTGATACATAGTTTAAAAAAATAATAAAAAAATTTCAAGCTCCTAAATTAAAGTTAAATCAAATGTATTAAAATATTTTTTAATTTTATAATTTTAAACATGTCAGGTGAAAAAATTAAAATTAAACTATTGCCAGAAAAACTAATAAGAAAATCACACAATAATTTACTGTTGAAGCAAAGTTGACAAGGACTAATGATATCCTTTGACAAAATATCTCGGAGTTATATATTACAGATATATAAATACAATTAGTCTTTCTACCACTCTTTGTTCTCGTTCGCCTCTTTTCTCCCTCTTCTAATCTCATTCGCCAAATATACAAACGCATATGTATAGCAGTTACAAAATATACATATACAATTCAATTCGACAGACATACATACACAAATCGTGTATCTCCACTCTCTGCTCGCTCTCTCGCTCACCTCTCTCCTTCCTCTCCCAATTTTACTAGCCATTATCCTCCCTCTAACATGTTGCTATGAACCGTAATTACTAAACTATCGCTACGAAACATAATAAAATATACCCCTAAATTTTTAAATTTATATTTGTTACTTCTAATTTTTAATTACTAAACTATCGCTACGAAACATAATAAATTTAAAACATAATAAAATTATTTTTAAAGAATCATATATATCCCTAAATAATTTTTTAAAAAAATTAGAAGTAACAAATATAAATTTAAAACTAATTTTTGAA